AAAGTTCAAAAAAATTAAATTTAAAGTCAAGAAATGAATTAGCAAAAGTATTGAAGTATTTCAATCAGATCAAAATGATGAATACTTAAGCACTAAATTTTTAAATCACCTAAAAGAGAATGAGATTTTATATTAATGACTACCATATGTTAGACATGGTCTTATTCATGAAGAGTCAAACCGATATCCCAATTTCATTTTAGGGATATGCATTCCTTACTATAACGTTTACCTTGAACATGGTTTCAATTAAGTCTATTAATCAAACTTCATATGAGATATAAAAAGAAAAGAAAGTGAATTTGTATTTCCTTAAGATTTGGAGCTATAAAACATATGTCAAGCATTTGGACGAAGACAAGCTAAAGCCCAAAATCACTAGAGTGCAAATTTGTGAGATATCCAAAAAAGCAAATGGCTATTATTTTCCTACCATTAGAACAAATTATTGTTCATGACTAAGCATGCTCTATTTCTTAAGAAGGAATTTATGGATGCTAAAAACTATAAGAGGAAATTTTAAACTCAATGCGATTCGAGTAAGACTCACAAATTGACACTCCACTAGTGAAACTCCAAGTGGATAGATTACAAAGTGTTGTAAATACCTCATAAAAAAATACACAAGAACTTCATAAGTCTTAAACAAGTTCATCAAAAGATGAAAGATATGATCTTATTGGCTCAACACATAGTGATGCGTACCCTAAAGAGGATGAAGAAATTAACACTTATGAAATGGTAATGCCGAGCATTGACTCCAAGAAATGGAAAAAAAATGTATAGATGAAACGCCTTGATAGTTCTAAATAATATGCAAATAAGATTTATAAAATGCAACTTTCCATTTATGAACTTGAGCATCCCTTTAGGAATTAGAGTTGATGTTTTGATTAAACGATCAAAAAGTTTGATTTTTTCACAAAACGAAGGTGAATCTTGTGTATACAAAATGTCGATTGGAGCCTACTAGTCATGGTTATTGTACATGAAAAAATAAACAAACAACTTAAATTCATCACGATTATCTCATTAAATGATTTATGTACTTTGACACTTGTTTTGATAGGCTCAATCTAGATCTACATGTGGGTAATTCGTTGGGTGCACTAAGAATATAATGGAGATAGGTGGATGACTAAGATAGGACATGTCATTCCTTATATGCTAAAAGAGTTATCACATTGTATTTTGGTATATATCTACCTAAGAAATCCGGAGCCACAATAAGAATATACCAATAGAGTATAGTTGGTTTACTCTAAGAGCTAAGACATTTAAGAATTGAAGAAAACTTTTGTGATCACAATTGAAGAGATTAATAACCAATCTTGAGATCACACTATGATAAATTGACATGAGGATTGAATTGTTTGGTAACCATACTCGTGAAAGGTAATTGTAAATTAATTAATCCTTATAGAGAATTGGATAGTCATGACACCTTGTTAGAAGTCAATTTTGATTTATGTATCAAGAGATAAAAGATGTGTATTTTATCCTTGATACATTGCTAACACATCTAGAAGCCTATTAAGTCACTCGCATAAGTTTAAGCATTCACATAATAAAATAAAATAAAAAACAAAGATTGTGGAAAAGGTTTCGATTTTGAAAGTTTCCTTAAATACAAAGTTTCCTAAAATGAAAGTTTTCTAAAATAGAAAGTTTCCTATTTTAGAAATTAGTTTGCTAATTTGGAAGTCAGTTTCAAATTTGGAAGTAAGCTATCTAAAAAAGGAAATTGGTTCCTAATTTATGTTTAAGAGTAATTTGAGAAATTTTTTTCTAATGTGAGCCTCCTAAAAATATCTAATCAAATTTATTTGGATAGTCCAAATTAATTGATAACTAATTAGGCCAAAAGAGTTTGAGCTAATAGGTTTAATTTAAAAGCCCGTAAGATATTTTAGTGGGACGATAAACTTAAATCTTATTAGATAAGGATCAAGCTTTATAAGGATAAGATAAAAACCTCACATGTATTATAACTTCTAATCCTTGAAGGACTAGGAAGTAACAACCTAGAGTTTTTTTTTTTATTGCCGCCACTTCCTTGTCCTCTAAGGACAAGGAAGAAACTCCCCTTATAAATAAAAGGAAAGGTGTGGCAAAAAGAGTAATTTTTTAATGGCATACATGGCTCGAAGAAAAATAAGGAGAAAATAGTTTTTTCTTCCATAAAACATGCCAACTCTCTCCCTCTCAATTATGGTTCTTGCAAAATATCCCCGAAAAGATTTCTAAAGTGAAAACATCAAACAAGTTAGAAAAAGATGAAGCTAGCACTCTATAACTTCGAATGCTTCTTAGGTGGATGATTAAACTCCATGGATTATCGATAGAGGCTGGACATTTAGATGACTCCTTTTGTATAAAGGTTAAAATCTACGCTATAAGAGATAATCCTTTACTCATACTCTAATTCATGTATGTATGATTAGTTGATTTAACGAACTTGATCTTAGGAGCCTTAGATAGAGGAAAATTTTATTCCGCACCTCTATAGGATACATGATCCATCACGTATAACTAGTGAAGTTATTCCATAACACTTTCTAAGTAGCCTTAGTTTGGCAAAGAATCACAACCCTCTCATCGTAAATAAAATGCTCTAAAAGTTCCCATACTTTTTGAACATTGTTTTTAGACCCATAACCTCTAAAGAGAAAGGGTCATAAAGAGTGGGATTAGGGATTATAATAAAAAAAGATTAGGAATAGATGCCTCATAAACTTCACGAAAGGGAAACAACAAAGCTAATTGAACCAATGGAGGACGATGAGAAAGGATAAACCTAAAATGATGATCTAGTTACATAGCAATACTAGATATGGCTTGAAAAAGTGAAGAAGCCCTTTAGGACCTAGATTTGGAAGATAGATTTGTTGAAAGTTATAGAAACATGACAAGCCAAAGAGTCATATGGTTTCAAATAACTATTGTATGGTGAAGAGACATATTAGTTCCAAATATTTGTTACAACTTTGGGATATGGGGAGAGACAAAAAACAAGCACCAAAGTAATTATTTCTTTTTGCATGTGAGAAGTTATTTCATGCACAAAAGAAAGAGGGAAGATGTTACCCTTAAATTTGATAGGGGCTCGGCTACCTAACACATTAAAGAAAACCTAATGAGACTTTGGTCACAAAGTCCATGTTCTAGGCTATTAAAAACCATTGGTGTGTTTGATATCAATAAGCCCATAAAACAAGTCTTTTAGCCCATTCCTAAAAGAAGCCTAAAAGAGTGTTATATTTGACAAATAACAATGTTTAGTATAATTCCAAATAGAATTGAATTGTGGGTATAAAAAAGGGAAAGTCAAGTCCTATTCAAAAGAGAAAGTGTAACAAGAATAAAAATGGATATGTAACTTACTTAAACAACTAGGGCCTAAGCTAGAAATAAGAGGAATGTGGAAACATTACGGTGAATGAGTGAGAATACCAAAAGATATAGAGCATTGTAACTTAAAAAAAACATGGAGTATTACAAACCAAGGCATGAAGTTGTGGGAAGTTGCAACCCAAAAACGTGGCTAGTAAAGAAGGATATGAAGGTTATAAATACTAATGTGACTAGAGAGAAGGACATAAAAACACGTATAATAATAATATTCTTGCAAATTATTAGCATTATCTCTCAAATTTTTTCAATACTTGAAACACGAGTAGGCAATAGTTTGTAAGCGGTAATTAGTAAGTAGTAATAGTAAGCGATAACAATAGGTCGATAGTTCATCTTTAGTTCGATTTTCACTTTCATTGCAACATACGCAGTTCCGTCTCTCAATGTTTGAAGTTTCAATTAGTGTTTGTTCACCGGTTTCTATATCTATAAGTTTTTATATTTCTAAAGTCATTGTCGTTTGTTAAAAAAAACTTTTAATTTAGTATTTATCAATTTTAGTTTATATTCAACTTTACGAGTTTGTAATTCGCATGCTTATTATTAGTAAATTATTTTATTATTGTTAATTGTATACTATTTAGATATTAGTTTCTAGTTATTGCATTTATAGTACATTTGTATTTCAATCTTGCAACCCAAACATCCTAGGTGGCTTGTAATTCATTCTAATAGATTTGTAGGTTATTACATTTCAGTGTAAGTAGTAACTTTTTATATTTTAAGTATTGGAATATCTTTAAGAGCAATAGTAGAATACCTTTGATTGATAATTTTAGGCATCTAATTCAAAATTATTTAGAATATAAGATACTTTTCTACCATCTTATAATTCTGTTGTTTCAAAGTCTTGTTTAACTAAGGTTGACACAAGAATCCACTACAAATAGCAATTGATATTTGCTTAACCTTATGTAGATCTCTGATCCATGCTGTGCTACTACCATGCTTGCAAAACTGGATTTATTTTTATCCTTCAAACGTGTAAGGTTTCTAGTTCCAAGTATGAAGAGGTTCCTCATAATGGTATTGCCACTTTTTTTTTTTTTTTCCTTGAAACTATTTGCTTTGGAGAACCCAAAAAACATTTCAGGATACATTTATTTCAGACAACCATTCCTAATATTTCTTTAAATGGTCATTATCCGACAATCCCATTGAGGTAGAATCATAGGATTAGGAATTTGGAAACAATCCCAACCATCAACATTCTTAAGTTTAATCGCACCCTTAATAAATACACCCAGTAGTCGTAATGCAAGATTTCTTTTACCATTCAACAGAGCCTTGATTAACAGATGATTCGTGAGCAGATTGCTCGCTTTTAAGCAGAGCAGATAAGCAAACGAAATCAAGTTGAAAACAATTCATATGGTCAAAACTGACAATATAAAAAGAAATCTAACAGATCGTATGCACTTGTTAGGATTTCTACTATAACTTTTGGGCTGTACATCTGTCACTAAAATCACACGAGAAGAGAAGTCGAGGCAAACAGGCCAGAGTTCAGGAAGATTTCTCATGCTATCTTCTTTTTTTCCTATCTTTTTGGTTCATGTCGTCTCTGCTGATCTTCACTAGATAAATCATGCCTGCAGAAGAGCAGGGAAAAAAAAAAAAACAAAACAAAACAAAACAAAACAAAAAACAAATTGAAAAAAAAAACCACCTCGGAAAACTTTTAATTGGACGTGCTATGTAGAAAATAGTTGACAAGTACAAATATGTGGTAGCATACCCCAATAGGTGTTGGTTCGGGAACATCAACCAATCGTTCCATTGTTTCTAACTGATCATACGGAGCAATCTGCATGACATTAAAAGTACCAAGCGATGACAATTTGAGCACATAGACATGAATACAGAAGGGCCTTGCAAAAGTGGTCACTAAAATAGATCCATTCTCTTATCAGAAAACATAAAAGGGTTCATTTAAATTTTTTTATTATCCTCAAGGTTATGGTTACTGATGTTGCACATAGAGTTGTTATTACATGCCAGTTGATTACCCTCTAACCAATCATAACTTACTCCGTTCGTATGAGAAGTGATGACATTCTTATGAGAAGTGACAACTATGGTGATCGATACGTTGATAAGGATATAGGATGCAATATTTATGAACTGTTTATTATCACAGATTTGCCAAGTATTTTGTCAAGTGCCCATGAATTTTTTGGTAGCAATTTGATTAAAACATTTGTATTGTTTTCTCCCAATATTCCAAAGTTAAGTTATACAAGTTTGAAATATTCTGAACGATTATCTGACAAATATATCAAGATGTAATCAGAACAGAAAAGAAATGGATTTGGCTCCCTAGAATTAGTACCTGCTGAAACAGATTAGCCCAGGCTCCAATTGTATGGATTTCCAAATTTAGCCATTTCAATCATGATGATGAAAGTGATCACTACTATGACATATCGAGATGATTTGCTAGCATTTCTCAGATTAAGTGAACATAACATCAACTGTAAAATGCTTTGCGTCTTGGTCAAATGGAGATATTATTTTAGGTATGAAGTTGAGAACTCTCCTTGTGCAGTAGTGCCACATGTCAAAACATATAATTCAGCGAGTTTACCATAGAAATTGTTATTTGACCAATAAGACATGCAAGACGTCAAGTCACCTGGCTAAATCCATCTGGCCATGTTATTTGCACAGCATAGTTTCCCATAGGCCGAATTTCTTCAGGTTCAATGTCTTCTGGAACATCAGTATATTGCAGTTTTTGCTCTCCAGTCCATTCATCCTATTTCAGAGAAGGGAAAAAGCAGAGCCAAAAAAGTCAAGAGGAACAAAATATTAAAACAATGTAAGAGAGTTTATGATGATAATTATTGAATTCAACCCTAATGAAACTTTTGTCAAGGCTGATGTTTACTAGAATGAAACTTTTTTTGCTCTCTATTCATTAGTCAAATGGTCTAATATAGAATTAGGATCCCTCTACTGTCCATTCAATCAACTACTTTGTGTTTCAAGTCTTCAATCACATGTTATTGACTTCAAACCCTGGATTATCTACTTTTTTCAGCAAAAACTGTTTGAGGACTTGACTGCAGTCTGCAGATTTACAACTTCTTGGCTAGTTTGATTTGACAAGATACACACTAGAAATTTAAGGCTTGAGATACTATAATAATTAAATCATCACTGTATGTAGTACCTAGACAATCTTAATTTGAACATTAAAACATTACTTCTTGCTTCTTCCTAATTGGTTCTTGTTGATTCGTTTGGATTGCTTTTCTTCTTCCCCCTTTTCCTTTCTGAATTTCATTATATTCTGGCGAACAAAGACTAGATTGTTTTTTATTCTTTTCCATGATTCTCATAAGTGTTGCTGTTAATTTGGGCATTAATACTGGCACAATTACATCATGATAGCAAATAAAATGTGTTACTAACTTAACTCGTTATAGAGAAGCACTGATTTGGACTTTAGTACTTCCCCAATTGCATCACGTTTCCTATGATCCTCTTTAAAAATAAATAATTAGTTGCACCTCTACACACACACACATATATAAAAGGTTCTGTTGGTTTTAGCTAACTTCAATTAATGAGATTCTCTTGTGTTGAATGAGTTATCTTGATTTGACACTTAAATTTCAGATTTTTTGGAGCATGAATAGACCATGTTGGCAGTAAGAGAAAAAGATCATTACTCCAGATGCAAGAAGCTATCTTGGTTTTACAGTTCTCATTGAAGCCTTGTTTAGAGTATAAATAAGTGGTGTCCAGCAGGACATTTGCACTTCTTCATCCTGTTGCTTTATATTCTTTATTTGAAAAATGGGGAGGTAGGTCGGCTATCCAAACTCCTAGCAGGACCCTTTACGGGGACATCACCCACTAACTTCTAGAGATACTCCAACGCACCTATGTTGGGGCTGGAGTTTAGGATACCTCAAGAGAATAAAGCAATGACATATAGTCTTGCCACCAACCCTGCCTACAGTAGGACTTGAAGCCAATCATTGAGCGAGAAGATTGAAAGTCTTTACCATTGAACCAAGCAGTTGTTGGGTCCAGTGATGTTTTTTAAAAGATGCTAGATGGCAACTGTGTTTCAAAATCTAATGGGTTGTTCTATGCTTAATGGCAAGGTACCATGACTGAGTCTGTTATCATAGTAAATGTAGACCTAGATAGTATTACATAACTGAGAAAGATGAATTAGTTGCGTTATAACATACCACACTTTGGGCAGACCGATCATTCCTTCTCACAGTTGCAGGATGCAAAATGAACTCTTCAACTGAATCTGGCACCTTCACCTTAATTGCCTTGATAACTTTATCATAGGTGACAGCTGTTGACACTAGAGTGAACATAACCAAAAAGGAATTTTATTTCCAGTATGAGAATATTGCAAGGATTGCAATTACTTGAAATGTCAATATTGGTACAAAGTTCTTTTGCTTTCCAGTACCAAAACACCAGTATTTGGGGAGGGTACAGAATATCCTCAATGTACCTTGTTGGCGAATCTTGGCACACTGTTGCACAACACAAATTCCAAGGTTCTGAAACGTTTTTGCCACTTCACCTTGAGGATCAGCTGCCACTTCAGGCATTCCACTATCTCCAGAAGCAGATAGCTGCACAAATGATGGAGTAAAAAATTTAAATTTGCTTAATCATTTTCACATATAATCTTAAATTTCCAATGATCAAGTAATAAAAAGCTACAAGAAGTCAAGTGAAGGATGACTAATAATTGTGAAAATTTTGACATAGAAACTATTTAATTTGCATGTACAAATATTATGGCTTGCTCGTGTAGGACAAAATTTGTTTAGGGATTGTAACCAAAATTAGATGCACATTTGTTACAGTGCCAAAGATAACTAATTTAGAATACTTTTAGGAAAGGGAAATTATACGAAATAAGAAACAGAAGAGAACTTCAGCCATGAGTGTGCTTTGAGTAGTAATCTTGCAAACAATTCAAAAAGCTTTAAAAATAATGCCAATCCAGTAATTTGTCCAACCAGGTTATACAAAAGAAGTTTAAAATACGCAGACAAGTAGATTTCAAGTATAAGCAATGATGAGAAAACTTATTCTAGGGCGTACAGCTGGCCTAATTGGAAGATCAAACAGATGAGGGATTCCAAACTGCTGGACAACCTGCAAATATGTAAACAAACTACTGTGAATATTGGTATCTGCTAAACATCATTGATAATTATAGAATTATCTGCATTGATTTCTTATAAATCTTCCATTAAGCAAGAGAATTAAATTTTTGGATTATGAGCATGCCTGAGAACCTGAACCTCTACCAAATGGGTAATAGCGTTTTCCATCTGCATCGAAGTGGCACATATTCTCTACTACAGCAATGCATGGCACCTGTAACAGCATGAATATGAAAAGGTAACAAGTAACGAATATTATTTTGAATGCTTGTATATTCTAGTTCACTTTCATCATGTTCGTAAGGTATTTCTCTCCACACAAAAATATTTTCTACTTCCATATACCAAGTATGTCTGGTCATTGAATCATTTAAAAAAAAATCCAGAGTGCTTGTAATTAAGAAATGAATCAAACCTTAAGCTTCGAAAACATCCGAACTCCTTTGGCAACATCGATGAATGCTAGCTTTTGGGGTGTGGTAACAATGACAGCAGCAGTTAATGGGACTACCTGAAAATATTTTTTTCCGACTCAAAAAATTGAATTGCTAACATGGGAAATGCCATGAAAAAATTACATTTCATCATCTATCATTTCTTTCTATACATGCTTCCTAGATTCTTACAAGCCATAAATAACAAACAAATACTAATGCACGTTCAATGAGTAATATAAGGTTCCATGAGGGTGCACAAACACACACCTTTTCTTAAACATTAAAATGGGGAGTGGGGTTGTGGTTCGAGCAAAAACCTGGCATAAAGTAAGCTGTATATCACCAGTTCCTGGAGGCATGTCAATAACAAGGTAATCCAGCTCTCCCCTGCATTAAGACATTAAAAAGATGTCAACTGTGAAATTAATAAAGTGGCCTGAAAATTAAATTGGTAATCTCAATCGCAAAGTAGCATGTATAAGGGTAAACTAATTCAAAATGTGAACTGCTGTGGAACTGGAACCCACAAACATCCGAAACAGAAAAATTTATCAAGCTCCTTTAACTTGTGTTTCTGCTACACAGGTTCTGACTAATATCCAGAAGCACAATGTACCATTCAGTGGTAGTCAGGAGTTGATCAATGACCCCAGAAACCATTGGCCCTCGCATTATTGCCCTCCCTTGTCCAGCAAATCCAAAAGAAACCAACTTGACTCCCAAGTATTCAGTTGGGATGATGGTTTTCTTCTCCAGATTCTGCAGAAGTTCTCATGCATCATAATTGCAGCATAATTAAATTGCTGTAGGAAAGAGTTAATTTTCAAAATACTACCATCTCTAGCAATCTGTTTTCAGGGGAGACCATCGTCGGTAAACTTGGACCATAGACATCAGCATCAAAAATGCCTACTCTAGCACCCATACCAGCCAAAGTATATGCAAGATTTACTGCTACAGTTGATTTCCCCACGCCTCCCTGCACAACTTTTCACAAATAACAGTCATAAGACACGATATTGTACTAGTTAATTTTAGTTTCAGCAACCAAGACAACATGGCACAACAGGATGGCATGATCCATGAAACATGATTTCTTCCTTTGCCATCAAAAGCCAAGGGGAAATGACAACTTTTATGACAGTCTCCTAGTAACTAAAGCACTTTGTATTCAGGATGGTGCACCAAAAATCAAAACTTTCAGAAAGAATAACAATCTTAATATAACTTACTACATATGAACAGGTTGCCCAATACAATATCATGCCAACATGTTTGAAGCACATAAGGTGCCAGAATTTACTCTCTATTAATTTCTGGCTATTATCAACAGTTAAGTGTCAGATCCCTCAGGTGACAGAAGTGTTGATATTTATTTATTTATTTATTTGTTATTTTTATTTTATAATAGCCAGAAGTTTATAAAGAGTAAATCTCCATATAGTTGAATACTAAGTAATAAAAGTAACCAAAGTTTATGGGAAGCCTACCTTGCAACTTGAAACTGCGATAATATTTGAAATTGTCTGCAGCCCTTGGGGAAGTTGCCCTGCATAAACCGGTCTGGCAAGTTGGGCTGACATCGTCACTTTGACATTCTTGACCCATGGAAGCATGGCTACCACCTCATTTGCCTTCAGCTCAAACTGTTACAATCAAATCTTGTCATACTTACTCCACCACAATTGGACTAGAACAATCTACACAGTCCATCCTAGCAAAAACACTATATAGTTGAAAAGATTTCAATAGGATCAAAGGAAAAAATCATTGGAAACAAAAGAGTCTGCATCCTTTGTGTGGAAACTAGTTAATGCAGGGGACGAGGTTTAGAAAGAAGATTCAATGGGAATTGATTGTTACTTATCAAAGAGACATCAGCACATTTTCACAATTAGTTAATTTTTGAAGAATTTATTAAAACAAAACAAAACAAACATACATCAGTTTTTGATCAAACAATGATGATTGTGACATTTACCATGTCCTTGACTGGACATGCTGGTGTTGTGAGCTCCAACCGAAATGAAACCTGAGATAAAATTCAAAACATATTAGTAGTATTCTTTTTATGCATATTAAGGGAACTTGGGCTCTTGTGTTCCAATCAACCTCTCCTTGAGCTTCATCAATATCAAGATCTTTCACGAACCCACAAGAAACAATATCAGTCCCAAAGTCTGGATCAATAATCTGAGACAAGGCTTTCAGCACATCACTCTCAGCTCTCCTTACTGATACTGCAGAATCCCCAGCTAAACAACACCCAAAACAACATGTTACATACACAACCAAAAATTACAGCAAAAATAAAAAATACTGACACAAATAACAAAAAAATATATATAAGAATAATAATAATAATAAGCAAGATCAAACTCCAGAGCTGTACAGAAGTAAGAAGGCAAAATAGACTTATTATGGCGTAATGGAAATAATAGTAAATTGATGACTGATTAATTATCTGCATTCTAATCAAGATTACCGCAAGGGTGGAGAACTAATACTTGTAATGAACGAAAACAGTGAGTCATGCATAACATTCACAACACTCTAAATTATGAACCATTTTTTAACACTAAAATAGAAACCGGTTCCACATTATAGCATTAATTATTTTTTTTATTTTATTTTATCTTTTACTTTTCTATTCATGGTGAGTTCCAAAGGAACTTTGCAACCTAGGAAAATGGTGTCAGTACGTAAGACACCATATCCTCCGTGTATTAATTACTTAACACGCCATTTCCAAATCCAAATAAGTAACTGATGAAAAATTAGACATTGCCATTAATTACGGAAGCTGCAACCTACCTATCAAAGTATAAAGAAACATAATTATAAACAAACTATTAATTACTATGAAATATGTGTGAGTGAATTGTGGAAATTTGAAGCACATATTTGTTGAATATCAGATTACCTTGAATAGAAGAACTAAGAGCTCTAGTTTTGTTGAAGCAGAAGGGTTTACGTGGTGGTGGGGATACACATCCAAGTTTATGAGACAATCCTACAACAGAGACCAATCGATATTTCAAATTCAAAAGCTAGCTTAAAAAACAATGGAGTAGTAGCCAGTAGTTGTGAAGTTTGAAGTTAGCGTATTACCTCCTTTTGGTCGTGTGTTTAAGCTCTGCAAGGGGAGATTGTGCCAACATGGAGCGTGAAGAAGTTGCATTTTACAGTTCGATTAACTTTTTCCTTTTTCTTTTTCTTTTTTGGGAACTCTGGGAGCGAAGGGTAGAGAAGCAAGTGATCTGTGCTGCGGAGGTGAATGGTCGTTCTGAGCCTCACGTTTTCTTGGCTGTGATGCAGAGATATAACAACACCCTACTAATTTCAAACTCATTACTGCAACGACGACGTTTACCCTTTCAGTTAGATATATTATGCTTTTGAAAAAGGTTTTCTACGTTGACCTGAAATTACAAAATACGAGTTAAGAGAGTAAACAAGTGAATAGGTGAGGATGATATTGAAATACTCTATTCCAATTAATAGATTGAACAAAGCTAAACTAGAAGACCAGCAGACGACACAAAAACAACTCGATTCATGGTATAATGATTGAACAAGAGAACAAGAGATATTAAGTGTTCCTCGAAGGTTGAAATGAGTAGAATCTAGATAAGCGAGAATACCAGAACACGACCTAGGCAAGCAACAAAACACAACTTGGGGCAAGCACTAGTTTAACACGTTTCAATACTTGATGGACGCACGCAAACAATCCAATTCATAGATTCAGCGACTTAACAAAAGGCACAGGGACAATTCAAAGGTCATTACCTTCACATAGGATCACAAAAAAAAAAAAAAAAAAAAAGAAAAAAGAAGAAGAAGAAGAAGAAAAAGAGTGATCACAATTCTATAAATAAAGTGAAACAACAATAGAAGTTTTAGCAAACCAGCAGTCGAGGTACAAGATCCTAACTAGAATCGAGCTTTATAGAGTGTGACTTATATTTTTCAATAAAAACAGTAACCATAATGAAACATATAATCTATATCATTGCAGAAAGAAAACTCAAATATAAGGAAGGGCAACTCTTTTCCTTCTAAGACGATCCATTACAAACATGTCCTTCAAAAATATCTAGGTGGTTACCATATCAAAATAATCAGTTTTCAAAAAATATTTAGTTGGTCACTCTGTCAAAATGACTAGTATTTCAAAATGTCACAAGTGGTTTCTCTATCAAGATGAGCGAGTTTAAAAAAAAAAAAAATCCAAAACTAGTTACACTATCAAGCTAAGCAGTTTTAAAAAATATCAAGAGACCACTATGTCATAGTGGACAAATCTCTCAATACAAGGAGATCACAAGATGAGTAGTTGATGGATCTCTCTTTAAAGGCCAAGAGGTCAACTTGTCATATGTACACATTCAAAAGTAGAAAGTCATATTTCAGCCACTTCAACACCTTAAGAGATTCATATATTTGATTTCTTTTGCTTTCAAAGATCAAATCATCATAAGAGGTTCATATGTTTGTTTATTTTTCTTTTTTAAAATTAAATCACCCTAAAAAGTTCATATATTTGATTGTTTTTATTTCCAAAATCAAATTACCCCAAAAGTTTTGTATATTTGATTGATTTTGTTTTTCAAAATCAAATCACTCTAAAAGGTTTATTTATTCGATTTCTTTTTCTAAAATTAAATTGCTCTAAGAGATTCGATATTTGATTGCTAATTTTTTTTTTACGGTGAAAAATGAAAATAAACCAATACAAATCAATAAATCAAAGGCTTATGAAGGCCAATTGGCTATTTTATTTTCTCGTGTAGTCGTATTTACATGATGTGTGACCCTTATATGCCTCATTTATTTATATTATACACGATGTATTTTTGATTTGATGTTAGTCTTTGTCAGTCTAGATAGATATATTTAGGATCCGAGACTAACTTTGTTCTAATGACAGAGTTTTTTCTTATTATTATTCTAGTTTATTTAGTTTTTTTCATGCCACTTTTTGTCTTGCAAATTACAAAAACTCTAAAAGAGAAGCAACTTTCACTATTCCTTTTCTTGTAGCACTCGGACTCAAATGTTTTGTTCCTTTCATTGTTCTTTCAATAGTATTTTTCTCATTCATCTTTCTTTGCCTCTTTACTAAATCACCGTACAAATCTATTGTTTTGTATATTTTTTTTGTTTCAACCTTCCAATCGAATCTTGGTTTCTTTCAATCTTGACCATCCATCTAAAAAACCCTAACAATCATAACTATCAAATCATGATATATAAGTTTATTTTATTATAATCTCAATAAGCCTTCATCTTCTTAGATAAGAGCATACACCATTCTCTTCTTTACCTAAAACCCTCGTCGTAACTAAACCCGCCCCGCCCCCACCACGACTCAACACTCACGTCAACAAACCATCACCACCATAACTTTATTTTACCCCTATCTCACCAAACCATCTTTCTATATCTTCATCTTTCCACTCTCTCCTTCTTCTTCTTTTCTTCTTCTTCTTCTTCTCTCTCTCTCTCTCTCTCTCTCTCTCTCTCTCTCACTCACACACACACACACACACACACACACATATAAACAAATATATCTTCTTAGATAAGAGCATCCATCATTCTCCTCTTCACCTAAAATCCTTCCTATAACCATATTTGCCACCACCATAGCCCGATATCGATCATCAACCACCCACACCACCATAACCCACCCATATTATAAGTTGTTGCACCACCTAGCCAAAGATGAGCTACCTCACAATTCTATAGACACCAAACACTACATTAAATGCATCTAATTCTAAAGATGCTGATTTTCATATATATGATGTTGGCCTAGAGAAAGATTTTGATGTAAAATCAAGCTTTGGATTTGGGAACATGAAGATACCACTTTTTATCATTTATGCTTCATGTGGAGAGGCTAAATTATTGATAAGAGCATCAAAAATTTCTAAAATCCGGTATTGGTGGTTTAGTTCTATCATTCGAAGATTTGAGGTTATTTAGTAATGATGCTTTGGATGAGCTTGAAAGTTTCAATAAGCTCAAATCATTGGATATGGAAAATGATATCATTCAAGAAAAAAATGGTGGTAGGTTTTGTTAAGCTAAAGTATAGAGAAAAAACATTTCATAGAAAAGAGAGATCAATATTCTTTGAGGCTATTGATGTTATCCAAAAGCTACTCCGCTGGTAATATTTTATTTAAAAATTTGGTATTTGGATTTGTTCATGAAATAATTCTACATTTATGTTAATTCTTTTTTTTTTTTTTTTGGCTTTTAAGCTCGAATGAGGGTTTTAGATTTGAATGACGGATGGGAGAGCTTTCACTTCTCATTGATGCGACTTCTTAGATTGATGAGCCCTTTTTCTTGGCTATAGTGGTAATTACGACCTCTTTTCCGGCTATATGGTAAGTATAAAGAAAAAATAGATCATAGAAAAAGAGAGATCAATATTATTTGAGGCTATTGATGTTATCCGTAAAGCTACTCCTCTCGGTTATATTTTATTTCAAAATTTGGTAATTGGATTTGGTCATGCAATAATTCTACATTTTTGTTGATCCTTTTTTCTAGCTTTCAAGCTCGAATAAGGGTTTTGAATTTGAATGACGGATAGGGGAGCTTTCACTTCTTATTGATTGCGGTTTTTTATATTGATGAGCCCTTATTTTTTCCTAGCTATAGTGGTAATTATGTGTTAAACTTCAACAAATTATGGTTCTAAGATATGCATTGATATTAGCTCTACAGTTTTAATAAATACCTCCCTATTTTATTCGAAATGATCCGGAATTAAAATGGCCTTCAATAATTTTTTTTAGGTTTTTGTTTTGCTTCTAAATAAAGAAAAAAATCGTGTTAAGTTTATGGCTTGACTTTGCATGTTGCATGAGATCAAAACATGGTTTCATGTTTCAAGGTTTCCATTTCATTTATTTTTTTTAAATAATTCCATGAATAAGCTATGTAAACGATTGCATTTTGGCCTTTAAATGCTAACCAAATATTAAATTAAAGATGCACTTAAAGAAATTTTCCATTTAATGACGAACAATATTTCATCTCTAATTTGTGACGACTTTGTAATAGAATAACAACTAAATAAATTTGATATGGATTTGAGATGAAATAGCAATGAATTTACAATGTCAAATTAAATTCGATCGCTAATTTGAATCTAAAAGCAATTAACAATAGAATGACGATAGTTTAGAAACGAAATTAGAGAGTGAATTTAAATTCCATCACTAAAACACAATTTCATTAACCTAGAACTTTTTTAGAAATTAACACGACAAAATTGGTGACGGATTTGTAGTTCCATCTCTACTCGTAGATGGATTAGCGACAAATTATTTGTTCCATCGCTAATGTGTCACCTTACATATTTTGTGAATTGTTGTGTGAAATAAAACTAGAGTAATAGTGACGGACAATAAAATCTATCGCTGAACAAACAAAGAATAGCGACAGATTATTTGTTTCCATCATTAAATTACAATGTTGACCTTTGATTAGTGATGGAACTTTCTTCAATCGCTATTTTATGAGAGATTAACGACGAAATCGCATTCGTTGCTAAATTTAAATTCCTAAATTGGGTAGAGCCTCTTTTCTTCTCCATTTTTCTTTTCTCTCTTTCCGTTTCCTCCTCCTTCTCTTGTAGCAGGTGAATGCCTAGACTTGATTACACTAATCAAAGCGAGTGTAAGTTCCTTTCTAGCCTCCTTCAATAGTCGCAGTCGCTATTCTCTCCCTAAATATCAAGTGTTTCTCCCATTAAATCCATTGGTTTTCCTCCGTCATTGTTAGTTCTCTCTCTACTTTTCTTTTTCAAGTACATTACCTATTTATACTAATTGTTAGCTTAGTTTTGATTAATTAGTTAAATTATTTTTTATTTTAATTACCTTTATGTTAATTAAAATAATTAATCTAAATTAATTAGTATTAATCAACCTAGTTAGGTTATTTTTCAATTAGGTTTAATATAAATTTTTTATGAGTTGATTAATTAAGTTAATTTAACTAGGGTGAAGTTTTTTAAGTTAAATTGAATATAAATTTGGGTTAATTAGGGTTAAATTTGGGTTAAGTGGAATAAATATAAGGTTAATTATGACTAATATCAATTATTTATTAGTTTATTAATTAGGTTTATTTAAATTAGGTACATAAAAATTA